ATATATCAGTTTGAACCATGTTGCATGTACGCTCTCCTAATTGTGCATAATGGTGCAAAATAGACCTATTCTATAAATTTGATTAAATATTGAGATTGGGGGTTTAAATCAATCAATTTATTATTTATTGTTGCATCTCAATCAAATATCATTTATTAGTTTTTGGTCATTGCAATATTCATTTGAAAAAATAATTTAATAGTACTATTTTAAAATATAGAGAATCTCTTGATTTTTTTATCTTTTTGCACTGAAAGTTTTTGTTTTTGTTCTTTCGTTTTTGTATAAGCTTTTAAATACTTGAACATAAACCGATTTGACTAAAGTTGAAATTGTAACATTAAGATTTTTTTCTTTTATTTATCACAATCAGAACATTAGTTAAATATAATTATAGATTGTAGTTACCCCAGTGGGTATTTTACTATTAGATAAAATTTTACTGGATCAAGTGAATTGCACAATTTTTTTAAAGTCTTTTTAATTATGGTGTATACAAGATGTATTATGTACAACTATAAATAATGAATTACAATGTAATCAATATATTTTTGATACATTTGAAAAAAAATATTTTGGCTATAAAAATAATAGTTAGATTTTAATACTTGAAAATTGATCTTTGCAAATTTTTACCAGATTGTGCAAAAATTAAAATATCATGAGTGTTTCCTGTCTTAATTGTGGTATATTATCTCTATAATCAATATTTTACGTTATAAATAACATGATGATAAAAAATATAGTATCAAATAAAACCAAATATCTTTTGCACGTATATATTATACAAAATCAAGACTGCATATATAAATATTCTAGTTTATTCTACTTTGTTTTATACGTCAGTTACAGAAAAACTAACGATTTAAAAGTTGTCCTCAGAAATCAAGTTTATGAGAACGTCCCGTAAAGGGATTTTATCTCGTTCAGGTGCGGGCCCGTTCAAACCGTTTTTAAAATACCAGCCCTCTGACTTCAACGGATAACTGAATAAATATGACGTAACAACCCTTTCGAATACAATCGTTCGTTATTATTATTGACTCGCAAAGTTTAAATGTTTCCGGATTTTACGATCATCTGATTGTGTTCTAGCCACGACAAGTTGCCAGAAGAGAAATGCTGTTTTTGTAAAATGCAGCATCTCTATGAGAATGAGATGTAGCTGGTCGGAGAAATATATCATTTGGTTATAATTTATTTTGTTTTATCGAACTTCAGATTAATATTCAACATAAAAATTAACCTTATAAATATCTTATCTATTTGATCGATTTTATTTTTATTTATTTTATGCAAATTCGCTTGTCTAGTTATTAGGTATTGTGTGGTGATATGGTGATACGTGTGATTTTGTTTAATTAGATGCACTCATCGTCAGTAGATTTTATAATAATATCACATACAGTAAAAACTCGATTAACCGGACTAATTGTTGTCGATAGGCATTCGGATAATCGAAAATCCGGATAATCGAATATATGAATAATAATGTGTATTTATTAAAAATGTCAAATACATACATAGATATCAACGAAAATCAATGTTTATTAAGAAATTTACACTTCCTTACGTTGCACTGCAGCATTAATCATGCAAAAATTCGACTTATAGGTACGAGTTTCTACTGTACTTGTTTTAGAAATACTTGTTTGCTCTATATTTGAGCAAAATTTGCAAATGCCTCTATTTCTCCAAATTTCTTAATTACGCTATATGCCTTACTTTATTATTGTCCTAAATTTTCATTAATCTATCGATTCCTTAAAATGTGTTCCACTTTTCAATTTAAGGGCTATTAGTGTTTGTTCTGAGACGGTTACTAATTTTCAATCGTTACATTTTTTGCCAAATGTTCATTGTACTTCAATAATAAACGATATCATGGGTAGAAAAAATATCATTGAATTTTTTAAGCACTACTTTATACAGTTCAAATCGAAAGTCAAATTCTTATATCAACCATATGTCGTATTTGTCGGATGGAAATTGTTATTATATATTTTTTCATCGTACCTTAAGGTAGAGCGACGCTTCGTTAGGTTAGTTCCAAGACGTCATTGTTTTTCAATTGTCCGAGGGGGATGTCTATTGTCCTACCCTTAAGTCAAGGAGTTGATGGTTGTAATTTCTTGGTCTATCGAATGTTATCGGGCGTGTATGTTGCTGTTATTACAATTGACCCTTATATTTTAGTTCTTGTTTTGATCAATGTCATTATTAAAAGTCTTACACGACATGTGATCAGTTTTTTCATTTGCTCATCATTTAACCCCCTTTAACTCCGAATGCGGTTTTGAACAATAATATGAAAATTGTAAATAGCCATTGTGACATTTAGTGGTCTGTTTGTTACTTATTAAAATCGAATTAGGTACTCGTTGCGCATCACATTGTTATTTGGTGGAATCATGTAATTATAATTATGTGTGGTTGACAAATTAAATTATGTCGATCGTTACGAACCATCGATGTTATGATGACATTTGTTCATATTGAAATATTCTTGTAATTTTTATAATTTGGACTAATTTGAATATTTTAATATATCTAGAATATTTGCAAAGGTCAATTTTATTTAAGTTAAAATCAAAACCAAAATAATATTTTAATATCCGAAATAATGTTTTTTTTTCAAGTGCATAAAAAAATTTATTGTATAGATCTTTTACATAAAATGGTGCGCGTATATTTTAAGTAAATAATATGTCGACAATTACAATGCATACTGCTATATCTTATCGACGAATTTTTCTTTGCTAATCTTTGTTTGTTGCAGACATTTGTCCTTTCGGGAAAAAAAGCTTAGGCACATTCGAACAAACATATGTTAATGATTTTGTTTTGTACATGCATAATTTCCTCCACCTGAACACTATGCTAGACGAAAGAATTGTGTTCGGATTCGGATTCAGTAAATTGAAGTTTATACATACTTGGTCTCTAGTATTCATATTTTCAAACATTCCATGAATGCAATAAACCGAGAGTAATGTTAGCAAATTTTATACTAAACATAATCGCATAAATAAACCACTTATTAAACCGTTCTTTACCAAAAGCTCTCGAATCGCCGCAAAGTGGCTCTCCCGTAGCGCTATGAAGGGTTGTTGAGTTTTGAAATAAATTTGAGGTTGATTGAAGCTTTAGAAACGGAGCAAAAATCGATTTTTTTTAGATTTTCAATTAATTTTTTAACGTTTTGTATAGTTGTGTTATAAAAGAAACGGTTTTTCGCACAACCTTATATTTGTTCTTCAAATCTTTACCTGGCCTCATATCTTTTCTCGGATTACGGAATAAGAGATTGGTGTTAGGGTGCGCAGATTTATTCTTTGTATAGGTGTTTGAACTTTTTTTCACAGTTTTATGAAATGTAACGGTATTATATACGGAAAAAATATTTTTTATATTTGAGATAATTTTGTAGTTTGTTTAGGCCGTTATATACTTGCACAATAGTAATATCTTCTAATGCGAACGACTTTGGCAATTTAAGATGTTAAAATTTTTAAATAAATTTCTCTATATTGTAAATTGTGTGTGCTTATATATTTCAAATTAATATCGTTTTTTTTCAAAATCCAGTTGATTCAGAAGACAATTATATCATTCAATTTGTGTAAATTTCTTATTATATTGTGAGATTATGTAGAAAATTATTTGCATTTAGTTTTGTGTTTCGAATTTCTGTGTATTTCTTCCTTTGTCCATTCCTTTTCAATTATCGAAAAGGAGCAAAAATCAGAATTGTCTCATAGGAATTTGGAACATGGGTCAAGGAAATACGTAGAGGGCTTTTGCGACCGCGAAATTGATCTGAAATTGTCATACGGATTCTTCAGCCGTGACTTGTCTCATGCGGTCATTTACAAACTTTGTCACATCGCAGAAATACATTTTGAACCATCAGAATATAGGCGAAGCGAATACTAATGGTTTTATAGTTTGATGTTTATTTAGATATGCAAATTTCAATGCGATATATGATGAAAACAACAAGGATTTTTATTATTCTAATATAATTAAAAAATAGTTTTCAAAACTTTTGCTTAGTTGATTAACCACCGTTTATAACGATTTTATTCGAGCGAAAAATAAATGAAAATATTTTTTTATATTATTATTAATACCAGTTCAATCGACTACTGATATATAATTTCAATATATTATTCAAATTGTTGTTTTGCCCAAAGAAATTTTAAGTCGATCTGCTTTGCGTGCCGTTTTGGATCAGTTGCTTTCTTTGAGATCTCGACCGCAAATGCAACAAGTGCTTTTGTATTGTCCGAAACTATTATGAACCACATCTAAAAAATACTTAGAACTTTCTTTAGCGGAACCAAATTAATTAGGGTTATTTATATTTGAGCCGAAACGTTTTTTACAGACTAACACGCGGTTTGGGGGTCAAGATAGAAAAATTAGATAGGCATTGTCTAGCTAGCTAATGTAGTGTACATTATTCAGCGAGAGAAAATATTTCAATGGTAAACGATTCAGTATTGATATGTTGTTATTTTTTATTCGGAGCTTTTTTGACATCATCTTTGCTTGGCAATTTTGTTTTGTCCCAAATCATTCTCATAATATGATTTGGGGATCAATTTTCGGATAAAATAGAAATGTTAATGCTATGTAAAGGGGTCTGTCTGATAGATGAACTGTCTAAAAGTTATGTATTAAATAAAAACTAACTTCACGTATGTGTTATCGAGACATCAGAAAGTTGCAGTTATGATGAAATTGTTATTTGACAATTGTGCGTTTTGGATGTTAGGTTTTATATGGAAAAGCTTTTCGGTAGTGACTACCAGCTCATACGATTCTACAACCGTAGTATAGCATTTTTATAATATTTCTGTTTTGCCCAAGAATTTTGACCCCTTAGAGTACAATTTCATTAGAAGATCAGTACCATAAATAAAGTTTCATGTTATATTGTATGTATTGGAATTTTATTTCGACAGTATGAGCATGATTCATTTTCCAATTTTCAGACCATGGAAGTGTTAATTCTAACCAAGCTGAACTGGAACTCGAATGCGATTACTGGCTTCGACTTTGTTGATCACCTAATCGAGCGAATGCCATGGGGACATGAAAGCCGCCTTACCAAACGTCATGCTCACACCTTGGTGTCTGTCTGCTGTACTGGTAAGTTGCTAAAATGCTCTTTTATTTTACCTTCGTTAGAAAGGAACTAGTTAAATCGGATTTACAGGTATCAAATTAATAATGTGCGAATGAATGGGTCGCATTGAATTTCCGCTTGATTAAAATCATGTTACTAGCAAATTCGTTTCGGGTTTCGGGTATTACTTGATTCGATATCAGGATTTTTGTCATAGATATCACACGCAGTGCAATCATCACATATTTCGATTTTTTTAGTAATATGCATCTTTCGATTATCAAGCTATTTACATATTTGCATAATTTTATTTACATTTCACAAGGCAAAATTCGTACTAATTCTGGATTTAGCAAGTCATATATAATTTTGTATATATCAATATTGTTGTTAGATATCAAGATTTGTGCATCTACTGGAAAAATGATTCTTTTCTGATGCATCTCTTGATACATTAATTTCCTTTGAATCTCATAGCTTCTGCGTTCCCAGAAGATATGGTCCAATGTTTCTTCTTTCTCCACATTGGCTCCACGTGTGTCCAAATCTCATTCTTGATATAGTTGATACAATAGTTCCTATTCTTTGTAGTATTTTTGAACCAAGTTGTTTGCATTACTTTTGCACAACGTGTCCCATATAGTTATACAATATAGTTGAGACAATAGCTCTTGCCAGTTGATGCAATAAACTTTTTACCATGATTGTAAGCTCTGCTCTTTAATAAAAGGTTAAAAACAAACATTTTGCGCATTTAATCTGTTGTATTCTGATAGTTCCAATATGTTGTTTTGAATTACATTTTATGTTAAGAATCATATGGTGTCTTTATAATAAAAACCAACAGTTGTCCTTATCTCCAAATGCCCTTCGATTGATAACGAAACTATTGGTGACTTTACACATTCTTATGTTCGCGCCCGCCTGTTGCTCCCGTCAGCCTTTGTCTAATGGTCACTCGATTTCGATATAGTTGGGACGTATTTATATATTTTACAAGTTTGTCGATATTTGTTGCATCTGCTTCACGGTGATAAGCTTATGATCGGTTTGTTTATTTTGTGAGTTTTTTTTGTCACTTTTTTATATTCAAGCACCGCGTCAATGTAAATACAGACGTGCGTCCGATGTCAAGTGATTATTATTAGTGACATATACACAATAGTAAAATGTGGGCGATAGGTAAAAACGAGCACGCGCCTCGTTTAAAAATTACTTCGATCATTATGTTATATTTTCCGTTTATTGAATTAGGGTGTGCGGTCATTTTATGTGCTTTAACGAATTTCGGATTATCGTCAAAAAGTCATCAATTTATTGTTCACAGATAACAAAGAGGTTCGAAAAACAACAACGATGCAATGAAATAATTCAACTGTTTAAACCGTTTTTGCTTTTGAAATAGGTATCTATTTTATTTATAAACGGTTTTATAAATTTTAACGGTCATATTTACAACTAATCAGGATGCAATCATACTCAGACGACCAATCACTGAATTGGCATTTGATTTAGACATTCTAAGTACACTACCAAAAATTTATATATGTATTTATAATTAAAATATTTTATTTCGAACTTTTATTGGCATTTTCTGGCATAATTTAGTTTTAGAGAAGATGACTTCAATTATTGAATAAGTTATATTTATTTTAACTAACATATATGGTTTTAATTTTTTTATTTTGGGAAATACTTTACGAGCGAAAAATATATCAGAAAAGTACTTGTATGTAGCAAAAAAATATTATAGATACTTTTGGTTTTGGAATATATCAGTCTTGGTTCGTTTTACTTCAGTGGACCATTGCCTTTTTTCTTTCATTAGTTTTCATTAGTTGTATTGCAATAATTCATTACCCAGCTGGCCCATATTTCTACATCATGCAATATTTGTTCAAATCCATATTGTTCCGTACTCACCATTCAGCAGATGCTATTTCTTATCTAACTATATCGTTTCTAAAGACTTTTATCGCCTAAGAACATAACTGGCGATATTGGTTTTCAATTTTGTCCTTGGACTAACAGATGTCAAATTTTTGTCCAAGTCCTGGTAAACGAGTAATGTTGCGAAGTTTTTTGTGACGAGGTCTCGTTTGATTTTTTGCCGACCGATGGTCATCGGGTGTAAATGTTAAATAATAATTAGCTTCTATCTTATTTTGATTTAATTGCTAGTCTCGAATTAATGAGCAATTCATAAATCTAGAATTTGAATATTAGTTTTGATATTTGATTGCATATGATTATAGAGTCAATGTTTTAAACCTATAATTATTTTTTCTGTGTTTGTCGTAATTGATTGGCATTGGAAATATTATACCTGTCTAACCTATAAACTTGTTATAAAGTTTATTAACTAATTCGAACAAGAAACCATTTTTTGTTTTAACCTATAAACTTGTTATACAGTTTATTAACTTAAACCTATTAACAAAAACCTTTTTTTGGCCTTTTTATTTTTATTATCAATATATGCCAAATTTTATTCACCAAATTTCCGTAAATTCCAACTTTTTTTAAAAAAATCTGACATACTGTCATTTCTGTACAACTTTGCAAGAAAATTGGACAAAAGTTGAATCGTATCGTATTTTCCAATGAAGGGGCCTAATTCACGTAATATAATTATTAATTAATTTTAATTATTTTTAATTATATTCATATAAAATTATGCTAACAAACAAACATTTTAAATTGTGGTAAAAATAATTTTCTCTATGTGTCAAATATAAAAGTATCACTTTTGGTAACATAATATAAAATAATTTGCTCTATGTTGCAAGTATAAAAGTATCTTACAAAACTAGTGGTGCATGACATTGTGTCTTAAGGCAAATTGCTGAAACTTCTCAAACAGAAAATTGAAAATTTTAAAAAAGCTTCAAATTTTTGGAAACTTTGAAAAAGTTAGATTTTAGAGAATTTTGAAGTTTTTGAAATATTTTGACCTATTTTTTTATATTTTGAATTTTTTTGAAAAATTTGAAATATTTCGGAAGCAATTGCGCTGCATAGTTGTTTTAGACATGATATATCGAAGCGCCGTGTCGCAGTCTAACGGATAAACATTGGTACGAAACCCATAGAAATGTAAACAAAATGTACTTATTATTAAAATATTTGATAATTTGATGTGCATATGTCTAATGACCGATTTTTGACCGCCAAATGACTTTTTTTACTTTTTTTACTCGATTTCTGAAACCGCTAGACCTGCCTTCCCAAAAATTTAATCAGTTCTGCAAAATCAAAAATGAAGGTTTTATGATAATATTGCAAAACCAGTTTTATTTCGTAGATTCCTTTACTACGATTCCAGCACTGCATGTACGAAATGTTTCACATCGCATGTGTTTGCATCGCCTTTCGGGGGCGTTTTTTTTCAGCCTTTATCCTTCACCTACGACCCTTCTTCGGCCGGTGCGTTACCGGGAGTCGCGCACCGCTGATTCTCTCTCAGGAGTTAATAGACCGACGCGAGACGCAACTTTTATTTAGGGGTTCGGGGTGTTTGGTCAACTACTTCATACGGAACCGATTATAAATAAGTGACATCGTCGAAGAAACGTAATTCCGATAATTGTGCTTTAAATAAACTCCGTTTTTGAGCTGACGAGGCTAAAAAAGTGCAATTATTAGAGTTTGAATCGATTGAATAAGATTCTGTCTGTATATAATTGTATTTTCATAATGGCTTTTACGATATTCTTATATTTGATACTGAACAGACGTTTGCAAAACCTGCAAAATTAATTTCAAGTCAATCCTAAAGTTTTTGATATTTTTAAATATTTATTGCTGATCTATTACTGCCAATCATAGTCACATTACAATAATCAACATAGCGACCATATTATTTAAGGTCGAGGCTGAAAGGTACCTACTTCACGGTTCCGCAAAAACAAACCTAATTTTTTTTTTTTGACAGCAATCAGAACCTAATAGTTCTATAAGCTGTTGTGCTGAAAACCTAAAATATAAAGTATGTTTGGAATGAATTCTAATTATTTATAATTTTTTCGACGTATATTTGATGATTACAAACCGGTTTAGTAGAGATAACGAATAATATGCTTAAAAATACCAGACAAATGAACGCCATTAGATAAATGAACAATACATTTTTTCTTCTGTATCACACTGCTCATTTTGTAGTGGCGAGCATATACTTATGCGAAAAAAAAGATTTAAACAAATTGCAGAAAAAAATATTACTGAAAAATTTTTCTTATCATCGCACTGATGAATTATTATTTTTTGTTATAAATATGGTATTACTACAGAAAATTTTATAAATTCCAATTGCAACTAGTTGCACAACTATTTCTACCTTCACTACTATTCTACTATGGGGTGAGATATGATATTTAAAAACCAACCATTTAAAAAACCCGTGAATTTACACACAGACACCCCTTGTCACACAACGTTGACTTTCTACTGGTTACAAGTTGCAATGCATTTGTTTGCATGTTGCTTGACTCATGCATTTTTCACATATTTATAATTTGGAATAGAAAAATATATAATATTTTTATATCATGAACTGTAAAAATAGCGAAATCAAGTAAACAATTCTGATGTTGAGTTCTATTAAACAAGTCGTGGTGAACTTCTTAAATTATATTTTTTTTATCGTTGTAAAAAAATTGACCGTTATTTTTATTTTATTTCAACGTATCACCAATACTATGACTAATTGTTAAGGTATAAGATACTAAAAGATTATTATTAAAAAAAATTATTGATTGAAAAATTGATTTTTTTAATATCTGCACCTATTTCATATGAAACATCAGTAAATTTTTGGTAGTGTTTAGAATGTCCAAATCGAAGGCCAATCCAGTGATTGGATGTTTGGGTGTGATGAAAAGCGGAAAATAGCATAAAAATTTAATATATTTATTTACATGCATTTACTTTACATAATTGTAAAGCCACATCCTATTTATGGTATTATTACAAAAAAAATTACTGACAATGAATGTCAATACTTTTAGTTTATACGAAATTTCAATACATTTTGAAGGTGCTTCAAAAAAAAAAAAAAAAAAACAGTAATGAAAGTAGATATAGAAATGATTATTTTTGTTTTTTGTAAAATATAAAATAGAAAACGCATTTGTTGGCGTAGAAATTAGTGAAATGAATAATATTCCAATTGATGACTTCAATTTCCAAAATATTTAAAATGATTTTCTGAATGCTTACTTTTTATAATTACATCCTGCAATTTTAAAATTTTGTATATTTCTCATAAAGTAGACTATCAATATGATTACTTTTGAGCAATAAAAATTATTGTATTACATACATGTAAGTTGTAAGTTATACATTAAGCATTGAGTAACATTGCAATGGTACAATTGCATTCTTTTCAAATACTAACAATGTACTATTACTATTTACTTTCCTATACGACGCCGTCAACGAATATGTTTTTCATCTCCCGGCAATAACGCTTTCTACCTGTCAATGCTACAGTTTCGTTGTATTATGGAAAATAGGACACGGGTGGGTACTTTTCGAATAGAAGGAACCCTAAATTTTTTTCTCGAGTCCTATGCAACACCGAACAAAAGAATTTTTTGCCTCAGAGGCAGTGCTTATTGTGCTCCAGTCACGCGAAATCCGGTTCACATCAATTTAC